TATTCCTTCTCCTACAGTCAAGTGCTGAATATTATGCAAACTTCAGAGAAAAGAAACTGCAATCTTAATTATTGCCATGTCACTGTGATGTGCTGGGCTTCAATCCAACATCTCCACTTTCACATGCATCTTTTGTTTCCCATCACTTTCTGTCTTCTATAAATGACCTAAATAAAGCAAAACGTCTTTTTTTACAACATTAAGTGAGCTCTGCAGTCCATCTAGTGACTCACTGGTGTTGCACCTGTCTCTTTATTCACTTGAATTCCCTAAAACTGCCTGGGTGATACCGTATTGCGTGTCGAGCAACCAGGAAGGATGCCTGACATTATAGTAAAATATTAACACCTTTAGTGGAACAAATGAAAGCAGAAAGAAATTAGTTTGGCACACAGATCGTGACAAAAACATCTGAATTTGTCTCGCTGGCATTAAAGTAATTTCTTATCTCACAAGGGTATATATACTACACACAGCATCATGAGCAGGCCATTACTTTGAATGTATTCCTCTGATGCTCTTTTCATTTCTCATTTTATCCTCCTTTGAGATTTGTTCACAGTGGATTACAGTGCTGAGGATACATGCTGTGGCTTTTGCCAGGCATTGAAATAACTATCATTCTCAGCTCATATCGCAGTGGATTTGAAAGCATTAGTGCATGCCATACATATTTATCAAGGATCATCACATCCAGGCTGCGTATCAAACTTGATAAACATGAGTTTATATCAGAAATCCAGTCCTGTCAAGCGTGAAAGTGATACATTTTCAAGCACATCCGCAACTATTAGTCAATATTTTACTGGGGGATTTCTTTTTTCCAGTTGTCAGCAGGCAACCTACTATACTTTTCCTTTTGCATGATGACATAAGCCACATTAAGAACTCATTACAAGCGTTTACATCAGTTTCTGTGGTAATCTCTAAACAAACACAGCCCGTGAAATAGACTGTGAACCGCACAGTAGCAGATGTATCACTCATTTCTGAGACAAACATGTCTACCTAACATAGGGTAAAGGGTCCAATTGCATCAGCGACTAACTACTGTGCAGACGAGAAGAAGAGAGCCCAACAAAAACAGGTGGGTGAGCTCAGAAAGGAATGATGGGACGGCAATGGGAGCCGTATGTGATTGGAGCATCCTAGCCTCTGTAAACCTTTCTTCTCTCTGCGCCATGTGCAGAGTGTTGATAAGAGACATCATCCCACTGACTCATTAATCAACTGTGAAATGTACAGCTACCTGCCTCTTTCTTATTCCCGTGCCCCCAAAACCCCTCCGCTACCTCCTCTTCTCCACTTCTACCCGCCTGTAAAAAGAAGAAACAAACTGGACTCCACAAGGATTTCCTTTTGAAAGAAAAAAAAAAGGAGAAAATTGCTCTCCTAGCACATTTTCTGTTTCAAGATGTTGTACTCACACCCTTGTGTACGCAGGCATTCACACACAGAGACAGGCGTGAACACACACAGGGGCAAAGAAGAGCCCTGAACTTTCTAATGCCGACACATGTCCTTCATATTTCTGTCTCGGTAGCTTAAATTATGATCACGCAGACAGATAACCGCACATTTTGGCTTAACGACATCAAAACCCAGCTGACACCATCCACTTTATTCTTCCCCTTCTCTGTCCCATCGCTGCTCTCCTGCACTGGTAATACCTGCTATGACATTCCTGATATATATTTCTAAATTGAGCAGTGTGTTGTCCAGCATATACTTTCCCGTAAACTGTGTCAGAACTGCTGATCTGCTGTCTTTTCAACCCAAAGCTCAGCCCCACTCCAGGGAAGGTGAAATGAAGTGAGGGTAGATTTGAATTTTGATCAGTTTATTTGCATGTCAAAACCCTTCATTTATCTTTGATCGCCTTTATAAGGAGCTGACTATATAATAACTCAGCGTGTGTCATCAATTTCTCTGAAAAGTAAGCAACAACCTGACCAAATCAAAGTTTGATTAATAGGCAGGGAGGTATACACATTGTCCTGGTGACAGCTGCGTAAACAGGAAGCCCAGGGAGCCTTTTAACTCTACATTTCCTGATGGAGTAGGTTGTAAAATATACTCAGCAAGGCAGAAGTTCACTTTCATGTTGCATTTATGAAACAGAAAATACTGCTAACAGGCAAAATGCAGTGATTTACATTTACGGTACACTGCGGAGGCATGAAGAACTCTATTTGGTTACACGCATGAAGTGAAAGCCCAAAACATTTTATGTTGTCAGACGGGTTGAACTGAAGTGTCAGTCAGCGGCTCCTCACAGAACATCACCAGGTCCCGTTATCATCAGCGCACAAATGCTGCAGTCTGTCTGCGTTTCACCTTCTCCCAGTTATAATCCTGCCGTAGACCCTCCTGAGCTCTAAATTATTCAGCAAAATGCAAAATACATAGAGGTGTAAATTACTGCAGGTAAGGAAGTGTCAAACTGGAAAAACAGGCCTTGCAATCAAAAGCTCAAATACACTATATTTGTCATTTATTATGGAAATGTACGCATGCACTACAAAAACTCGAAATCTTGCCAAGTATATTCGTCTAACTTCTAGTCAGAATATGTCTTTACACTTGCTATAAGACATTATAACCTCAGAAGTAACACTGCAGTGAGATATCGGGTCTTGTTTTTAGACAATGCATCATCTTGTTAAGTAAAAAAAATCTTATTTTGAGTCGTATCTCAGATGAAACAAATATTTTTTTTACATATTTATTAGAAAAACACCAACTAACATCAGAAAACAGAAAACCTTTGAGCATTTGCGGCTTATATTGTAACAACATCTCCTGATTCTGGTCAAATATAGTTCAAAATGAGTTCTCCCAGCTAATTACAAGATCTGATTTATCTAAATATCCCTTCTTATTTCAAGAAATCTAACCAAGCTGATTTTCACTTGTTCTATTGACAGATTTTTTAACTTATTTCAAGTGAAAACACTTTGTTTTCATTATTGAAAGCAATTTTTCCAGTGTGCAAACAATTTGAATTAGGTTTTCCTACAAAGAGGACCCATGTCTGTGAGACTATGTTATGACTGTGTTGCCTTTTGGACTTCAGAGGCTGTTCTGGAGGGAAAACTGGCAGCTCTGTTTAAACTTTGATGGATTTCTGTCTCTGAAATTGTTAAATGTTGATGTAAGATTAGACACCTTTGCTTTTTTTGATTCTCAAACACAGTCTGACTTTGACTTCTGATGTTACGGATGGGTTTTAGATTGATGTTTTGATTGATTTTTTTTAATTGGACTGTTTTGAACACCCAACCAATGTTTTATTTTCAAATAACTATAGCTGTGAAAGCATGTATTATAGATTGTGATTCATTTAGAACAGCTTGTAAACATTCACAAAGATACATTTGTAATTCAAATGGACTGCAGCATTGCCAGGAACAATAGCAGAGAAATCCTTTATCCTTTAATCTTTTGAAATAGCTGGTAATGTTGAGGGATGTTACAAAAGTGGGATTTTTTGCCATGGTGAAAAGTAACTTAATACATTTACTTAAGGACACATTTGAGGAATTGTACTTTACCCGACTATTTCCCTTTTACACTACTTCATACTTCTAGTCCGCTACATTTTGGCAGCCAATTTTGTACTTTTTACACCAATACATTTATTTACAAATTCGTTGCATGTTGAATTTGTGCTGAAAAACGATACATATAATATCCCAGTGTTTGACATGTTATATTCTCAGAAGCCCAGAGCAGTAAACACACACACGTTTAGGTCATTCCTGCCAGGCCTGACCACACTGTGTACGGTGCAAGCACAGTTAACAATAAAATATTGAGCAAAGTTTAATTTGACGTCCGTTCCCGTGACAGATGGTATACTTTTTTTGTAAATCAACGGGGAACATAAAGCTCTTTGATTCAGAGCATGCATGTACAGTATGCGGTAAAACACTATAGTGGATGTGTCGCCGGGAGACATAAACATTTCGTGGAAACACTCATTGTGCATCAGTTACAGTTCATTCGCTGCAAGGGAAAAAATGATGTATGTATAAACATTTGAAAATACATCCTGCTACCAATGTTCCCATGTGAAATGAATCCGTCAGAAGGGTTTTAAAGAATAGCTAGGATACATTTTAATATAACCTCATATGACCATGTGTACATTGGAAAAAACGATTGCTTTCGTTCACTGTGGCAAAGAGAATATCTCTTTCTCGCATATGGGACGAAATCAAAGTCATCTGTGTGAAGGAATGCCATCAACAGGACAAATGATCACAGCAATAACTTGTTCAATCTACATAGGTATGAGGCCTTTGAGTATTTAAAGGGCTTGAAATGTACTTTGTTTTGCCCAAAGTTAGCATAAAACTGCCGATTTACAGTACAACAACTCAATGTGGTCACAACCCCTCCTAAATTATAAAGTGTAATCTTCACACAAAAAGCAAGATGTTGTGTGTTGATCATTCAGGTTTAGAGGAGCTTGTGGGTAAATGTTTGAACATATTTGTTCCCCTGTTTTCAGGCTTAAGATAATCTGCTAAACAGCTGCATGGCGGTACCTTCATATCCAGTAATATATGAGTGTCCTTGATCTTTACTTTTGTCAAGGGAATCATTTGAAAATGTCAGATCATTCCTTTAAGTCGATACTAGAAGGACATATTTGAACAAGTTCTATATTTTTCAGTAAAAAGATAAGGGTATGGATGCGGATGAAGTTCAAGACCTAAAATATAAAGCCTTTTTTTTTTTTTAAATCTATGAAAAGTTGAACAATAGGGTTCAAACATTGGTTCATAGGCAGCACTAACAAACTATCGGCTGTCTTGCTTGCGGTTGATTACACGATGCATCATAACCTCTGCTCTCTGAGGGGGCAGAAGAACCCCCACACTGGCAATTTAAACTGCTTCTAATAAGCTACTTTTCTCCTGCATGGAAATATAGACACACACACATTGTAATAATTGTCCACACATACTCAGTGATAATACTCACACACGGGGTTATGGCTTTCCAAGCAGTTTGAGCTTGTTTAATCTCATCCCTGTATACATTCTTTGTGATCAATACTTTATAGACAAATATAAACGCAGATAATGAAGGCCTTCAATTCGTCCCAGTACAGAGTCATCTTAGAGTACAGTCCATTCAAGGTACATCATTTGGTTGAATGAAAGAAAAGAGTTGTATATATACATAGAGACAGAAAAATACACATGTGAAGGTGGACGTTTGGCGCACACCCACAGTCATTAACAAACACAGCTCAAATGACCAAAGGACCGTTAACTACGTCACCATCGTTAAGTTCTTTTCGCCGCCCTGCTGAAAAAGTACCCAAATGAAAGATCTGTACGGTAGTTTGATTATGGTCACGGATACTATACCAACACTTATAACACTGAGTAGGCTTTACAGTTTAGAGTTTACAGTAGTGTTGAAGAGACAGAATGTAATCATCTCCCATCCCCTCCCCTAAATGTGCGGTCTGTTCATCTGAGAGAAGATTAAGTCGAGAACCAATTCAAGACAAAAAAAGTGTGACTGAAAGCAGAAATATGTCTCTTTCTCTCTCTCTCCCACCCTCTACCGCTCTACCCCATTTACCTCTTGCTCATTCCCTTTATCTCTGCAACAATTTATTTTCTGTCAATCCAGTCTTCTTTTAATTAGGTTGTTCATTCCCTCTCTCCCTCCTTTGGTGCGAAAACGTGCAGAAGTCTTTGAAATGATCAGCTTCAGTCCTCCAGGAATTTGTGTCTGAGAGAGAGTCATTTCTGGAGAATGGCCTCTCCTACCAAGGGAACTCTTTAAAAAGCCATGTGCTCCATCAAAGTCGTGTTCCGACCTAACAATACATCAAATGAACAACAAATTCACAATTGCGAAATTTCAATATTTTCCCTTTTTGTTTTTTTTCTCCTGTTTCATAAATGCCATTTTACGTCGACCGCAGAGAGATTCAGCCTTCTTAATATCAGTCTCCGAAATAACACCTTCTGCTTTTGGGATCAGCTTGTGGGTGGATGACCTCTTTTCTCTCCTCCTGGCGCTTCTATAAGGCATGCTGGGCCAGGACCAGAGCCAAGGCCAGGGCGGGAACCAGCGCCCAGACGTTGGCACACAGACAGGCAGAGTGGTCCTCTGGCAGGCCACGGGTCTTGCCCAGGCCAACCTCACTTGGATCAGGATACTGGGCAGATAGAGGGACACACAGAGGGAGAGAGATGTGAAAAGGTTAGACATGACTCAGACACTCGTGCTGCTTCTTACGCTGGCACTTGATGAGGAGAGAGACGCGAGGGGGAGGTGAGTAAGGACAGAGCTAAAGATAAGAGAAATAAACAAAGAGTCAGAAAGTCAGAGTAAAAGTGAGACACTATGATTCTGTGGCAGACCCACTTTGGCACGGAAATCAAGTGTTTGATCCACCAAATGTTTTGATATGTGAAGTATATTCCAAGCCCCGGCTGCTTAGTATGCTCTCTGCTTCTTTAACAAGTTGGCAACAAAGGAAAGCTTCATGTGAGGACTTTTTTTCCTAAACTCTTTAAGGTTGTGCCAGAAAGTCTCTAAACAGTTTTTAAAGCTATCATTAAAGACGTTATTTACAAGAAAAACATGCTACCAAGCCAAACACACACACTACAGAAGCCAGCAGCAGCTGTGGATTTCTTTCAATATTTCATAAGGCATAAATTACAGCAAGCAGAGCCCAAACAAAACACTTGCAAGACTATGCAGTTTGACTGTGCACAATTGAAAACACTACGATGTGTATTGTTATGCACAAGGGAAAATAAACGTATGTATGGAGAGCAAACAGAGAGGAAGAAAAGCAGTTCACCACACTGCTCACATTATGGCAGAGAGCGGTGGGAACACATCAGCCCAGATATTAAACTCCGTTGCCTCCAGAGTTCTACTGTTGTATCCACACGGAAATTGCCTTATTATATGCTTTCCCATAAAATTGTTAGCATTTTGAATACTTTTTACATTTTCTCGGATTCTTGTAACACAAAGCACAACCATTTGCCTCGAAGTTAAAGTAGTCTCGCTCAATTTGTGGAGGCATATTTTTCAGTGCAGCACAGCCATAAAGCGGCCCATCATAAGGAACATGAAATATGTTCTCCCCCTCCTCCTCCCACTCTTACTCCATCACCCCCTCAACTCATCTTCACCAATGTAACCTTTGCAGAAATTGTACTTTGCACCATTTCCTTGTACACAGGAAACTCATCTACTCAGATGTTATCTACCAGAACTTCATCTTCCCAACAGAACAAGGCAACATATTAACATCAAAAAATGATACATGAAAAGTGTGTTGGATTCTATTAACAAGACAAGCATATCATTTCCCCTGTAAAGGAAAGGAAAGAAGGATGGAGAGTGAGGAAGGGGAACGGAGGGGCTTCCAAACAGCTGCAGTTATCTCAGTACCTGGGCTTGTGCTTTCATTCAAAAATGGTTAAATGACAGTTGCCAAAAAAGGGGGGGGGGGAAAGCTATGGGTAGCTTGACAATGCACCAAACACATCCACGACTAAAAGCCAATTAATTAGCAAGAGCAGTGATGTGTGGCAGCAGCCTGTTGACATGAGTCCAGATCTCCGGCTGCAGCCAATATCCACACATACACTCAGGCTTGTGAGACGGCACACACGCGCCTAAAAAGCAGCAGCCACGCAAACAAATGCATGCACCGTGACGAAGCGCAGACAATGTCAAAACACGCTCTCATTTACTGATGCTAACACACATGCAGAGAGGACGACAGGATGGAAAACAGTATTTATTTTAAATACTGATCAGGCTATTTATCATTGAACAGGTTACTACACGTTTACTGTAGACAGTGTTTTCCTTATCGATCCGCACATTGTCAAATTTACAGTTTTATAAGCATCTTCCAAGGCAGGCTGGAGTAACCCTGAGGTATGTACTGTACTTTCTATCCGCAATCGATTGTATTCAATTGAGCAGAAAATCAACACATGGCAGTGACAGTGTGGGAACACAGACAGCAACGGCTTCCCAGTGCTTATGAGGTTAGAGGAAGGTTAGCTGTTTAAAAATGAAAACTTGAAAAGCAGTACAAATAATAAACATGTCCTTATTTGAGAAGGACATTTACAATTCGAAAAAGGATTATAAAAGCCTATAAAAATAGTAAAGACATCACTGGGGATTTAAAATATTCCTCATTAAACGGAAATGTTTTAGTAAATGGGGAAAAATATGTTTCTCCATATAAACAAAGATTATTACAATGCTCAAAGGAACTTGCCTCAGCCCACATGTGTACTCACTAAGCAGGGGATAAAACCCACAACAACTGGTACTGACATTTATGAATAATTATGCATCTAAATGAGCTGAAACACTCTATTAGAGAGCAGTGTGACTGACGTGAAGACTTAGTCACAGGCGGCTGATTCTGCTATACGCTCACTCCTCTCCTAACACATTATAGGTTGTGTGTAATGGTGGTCCATGCATCCAACACCATCCTAACATATTCTGCACAGCGAGGACCCCACGCTGGCCAACGGGAGATTTACAACCGTGGACGGTCAGTCTTCTGCCAAGAGGGCTCCATACCACCACGACATTTATCTGCCATGGAAGTTCGTCAAGTTTTAATTGCCAGGCATAGCTTTCTGAGAACGCAGGGCCGCCCAAAATGTCCCCACCAAGCTCCCTCTCTAATTATAAACTTCCTGCTTGAGTAATCACACGTCTTATTGTTTCCTAATTACCATTTTTACAATAAATTAAACACCACGCTGCACTGAGACAGGCAGAGAGCGGTGCATCAATACTGACATACACACACATTCCTCTGCAGATATCTACAATACATTACCTCCCGGCCCTCTCGCCCTGCAACACCTTTCCCAGACATACACAGTGTTTTTGTTATCAGAGCTGCTTGTTCATTAATTGTCTTCCTCGCAACATTTTTAAGATTTCAATTTGCTGTCTTTGCGACAATGAGTGTTTCTGCGTGAAGGACAATGCTGCATGATGACTCGGGTGCCGTGTGACCATTTATTGGCTGTGAAAGCCCCTGGAATGACTCAAAAGAGATGTCTTAATGGGAGTCATTCATTCAGCATGCTAATTTGCATCCATAAACACGGCACGCTGCTTGGATTCTGTGTATATCTGGAATGGTGACGGAAAAATGACTTTAACAATAACATCAGCGGGAGCAGAAGGTTCTCAAAGTGCAATGTTATATAACAGTATGTAATTCAGCCGTGCTTGGGAACTGGGTCTCCTGCAAAGGTGAAAAACACCATCAGTCTTTCACCAGACGGCAGCAGGGCACATCTAGAATAGATCTGTAAAACAGAGCAATATTTCATTGTGAAAACTAATCAAACTCAGCTAGATAAAAAAGAGAAGGGGAAAACCTCTCCTTTGCCCAAAGTGCAAATGAAATATTCCTGTCCTGTTCAAGAGAGACAAAATGCTCCTGTCATTTTGCACATTTATTTAAAAAGAAAATGAAGTTCTATTAAAAGACAAACACATGTGCATTCTTGCAGCACAGCAAAGAGTGATGTGTTTCTGCTCCAGACGGTGAACCCAGTTATAGCTGAGCTGACTGCAGTCTTGTGCTCGGGCCCTGGGCCAGTATTTTAGAACCTCTAATCCAGATTAAAAACCTGTCTTCTCATTTATTTCGCTATTTCATTGAGTGAGAGAGAAATACAACATTTCAACCGTATGTCATCATCTTGGGTGTAGCCTAAACTGTCTTATCAGAAAGCGTCTGAACTGATGCTCCAACTGCTTTAACAGGCGCAGAGATTGGATGTGATGTGAATGAGAATGGGCCATTGTTGAACGTCTTGATTTCGCCTCTTTACAAAAGAGTTAAAGACTGTGGATCGTCTGAAAAGTAAGTTATAACAAATGTAGCCAAGGAAGTTGACTGCTGGAAGTGAACGGATACATTTGTGTTGCAACAACAACAACATATACATAAAACAAATGTTATTTCAAACACGTGTTTTAACCAGGCTTGGGGAGTAACGGACCCAAAAAAAGGGTAAATGTAATATGTATAATATATAGTAAATATGGATTACTAGCAGGATTACAATGTAACAAAACATTTAAAATAAAGATTGATATATTTTATGTATAGGCACACTGCCTCAATTTTCTTTTTGGTTTTCATTAAGGCTACTTCAACTTTCATCGTTTTCACATAGACATTTGATGTTGAGGTAATCCAAGAGTATTGGGAAAGTAATCAGGTTACATTACTTTCATATTGTGATGCTTTGATAAGGTGTAACTACTGTAGTGATTGTAAAGGAATACATTATGTAAAGTAACCCTCCCAACCCTGGTTGTAAGACAAGCAACGAAACCACCAATATTAACATATTACCTTGTGGATGATGACAAAGGGATGTTCTGAGGGGGCTGTTGTCCAATCAGAACCCGTCTTCGTTGTCGCCGAGGGGCCGGGGACGGACGCATTTTTGTTCTGCATGTTGTCTAACCCGTAGCCGAAGGCCTGGATGGCGTTTCCTGCAGGGACAGAGATATAAAGTCATTTGTTTTGTTTGCGAGCAGACAGACAGCTCTAAGTCAACTTCTTGGTCCCCTGCCCAATCTTTGGCAACCGAGGGAATGAGGGGGGGTGGTGGAGAGGGAATGAAAAAAGGAAGGGGTAGAAAGAGTAAGGACAATCAGCCTTTTTCTTCGTTAGTGAACTTGAGAGTTCAGCTAATCAAAAACAGCAATCAGGGATTTGTTTAAAACAAATCTTTGAAGTGTGGAGCTGAGGCTCTTATCTAAGGTCAAGTCCCTTTAATCATTAAGTGATTTTGAAAGGGTTATACGTGTTTCATCTTAACCTAACTTGACTTCTGTAAGGCCCTTTATGCTGGAAGCCAGGCCTCCGAACACTCTAGTCTGCCATCTAGAAACACACAGGTTCGTAATACTCTCCTCCCTGTGCTGGCTCTATAGAGCTGTTCACCGTAATCACCTTTCAGGCCCTCAGACACCAGGCCGATAATCCGCCATCGGTCAATGTAGCGCTGTCAGTGAGTGTCTGTTCACCAACCAACAACCTTCTGCTGCAGGACATTCGTGTTGATTGGCTCAGAAGCAACCATCCAAAGTCCTAGATAACAGTCGACCCGGTGGCCACTAGGTCGTTTGGTATTTCTGGGCCTTCACTCGTCTGTAAAGCCCCTTGTTTTAAGTAGTTTTTCGGTCCGTGTGCATTGTTTATTTATTTTCTAGCAGTGTGAGCCCTTTTTGCTTAAAGAAAACCATTCTGCCGAGTTGTTTGAATTTAGGTACAGCACTTACTTCACTCAGTAATGGGTTGATCTCAATAATTTATTGTTAGCCTACTTTAAATTGTTGAAGTCGAGCCGTTGTTTTTTGGGGTTGTTTTATGTCCGTGTGCATTGTATTTTGATTTCCGAGCATGACCAGCAATCCCGTGGTTGTTAACCCCACTTTACAATCGACCATCCCTATCCTGTCGAGACGTTTGGATTTGGGCACATCCATAACTTCCTGTACGTTTTGGAATTGATTTTAAGAATGTCTTGTTAGCCAACCATTAAATTGGAAAAGCTTCAATCTATCTTTCCAACCTTTTACAACCATAAGGTCACTAAGGTCCGCTGACCACTTGCTTCGGGTGCTGCCAAGATCAAAGTTGAAAAAGGGGAGATGGTCCCTTGCAGTTGAAGCACGGCCCCATACTGCCTCATGTTTAATATTCTATGTCGCGCTTTCGTTTTGAATGCATAACATGTTTATAGTATGCTATCAATTTAGCTTCTAATCATGCTTCTATAAATGAATCCTGCAGGGACATGATAGAGACGTCTATCAAATCCAAACAAACAACAAATAGAGGAATAATGTCCGCACTTGAGATGATGAACCCCAATTTGTTTCCCGGCAGTTACACACTCAGCAATTGAATCTGTTAAAAGTAGACAATCATTCAGCTCAAACAAAGAACAGCAGCCTGTGAATGCATATTTAGTGTATGTATGTGTGTAATGTTGTGTCTAAGAGCATGTGTGAGTCCCTGCAGAAATGTGATAAATCCCTGTTCAGTCAGCTTTTCAGCTAGATATGGCAAAATAGGGGCTGAGTACCTTTTCACTGCTCATCCGTTTAAAACACGAGGCTTGTTTCTCTTTGTTCAGCCAGAGAGAAGGCAAGGCATGTAATTGCTTGGCAACCACCTCCATTATAAGGTCAGCATGCCGAGATGACTTTAAATAGATTCATGTGACTGATCAAACTGAACATATTCCCAAACAAAGCAAAAAAAAAAAGAGGCATTTTCCCACCACCACATACTGTAACACAGATTATCGGATGGACACAAACATTCCTTAGTACTCCGATGCATGGCCACATTTCTCTGTCACATCCTCCATCCACCTACACAGTGTTGCACACAAGCACGCGTACTGTACTGCACAGCGGAACACAAACAAAGGCAAACACACATACCCCTGCACACTTAACACATACAAAAGCACCCTTCATGTTTCGTTTTCGGTTCGACACTGGTGATTTGCTGCTGGAAAATAAAATCACATGAAGGAACGGAGCTCACCAGAGAAGCCTAACAACTTAAACGCTAGCAGTTAGGAGCCTGCAAAGTGCCGCTGAGACACGTGATGCTCGCTGTCCTCCTAGATGCCGTACGATGGAGGAATAAAGTCATAAATCAAACTACTTAGCTGGAAGGCCTCCACACAGGATGCTTTACTGCACTCAAATGTTTCACTGAGTGATTAAACTCATTGCCAATAGCAATTCAATTTTTTAATGACTTGATAAGTTGTCCTTTGGCCCCTGGGCATAGCATGCATAGCCCTACCTGCAGGGACAGATGGAGGAAGAGAAAAGGGAGGTGAGAAGAAGAAAAGCAGAGACAAGAGGAGGAGGGGCATGTTTGATAATGATATTCATTTAGTTGGACTGCTTTATTTTGGCCTCTATTCACAAGTTATCTTTTGTGTGTATTTACTAGATATTTTAAGGTGAGACTGTGAGACAAGGTGTCTATAATAAATGATTTGTCTTACAGACGCCTTCAATTGCAATGTGCTTCAGATTGTCAATCAATGTAAGGTATAAGGTATTTACTCGATAGGAACAGTGAACGTTAGTCAATGAGGGCAACTGGGAGCTAAAAGTGATTTTTCAAACGTACATATATAGATTTATATGTTTGTTTATGACTGCACATTGAGTGTTTTTTATATATTCTCCTCAGCGTTGTGTCAAAGTTTATCGCCTGTTCTCCTTGACTGCAGAGCGGAGATGCTGCATTTTGTGTTATTTTTCAAGACGCCTCCTCAGCTCCCAGCCTCATCCCTCATCCTGCACACTCAGCTAAAAAACGGTACACCAGCAATCTATTGAAATGGTCTGAAAGCATTATCCACAAAATGGAACATGTTAAAGGCAATGGTGTCGTGTAGCGCTGATCACACTGCTCGCTGCACCATAGCAAGGACATAGCTTTCTGTATTTCTTTTTGTTCAGTGAAGAAAGCACAAGAGTGTTGGAGGTAACCACTCTGTCATGCTGCACCCTGGGTGTTATGCATAAGATGTACAGATGATATGTATTTTAGCTTCTGCTATTATTTCATTTGTACTTGTTCCGTTCCTTTTTCATGAAATGTTTTACGCCGCGAGGGATAAGCCCTTTAACTCTCGCAGATTGAATATGAAAATGACATGCAAATGGTTTCCTTTGTATTAAAGTCTGGGCAGATCTTGTCCAAAGGAGGGGATGAGAAGTGATAAGAAATGACTCGTTTTTTGAGAAAGTAAGAACATTTAATTCCATCTTAATCAGTGGGCAAAGGGGTGTTTGTGGTTAAGGCGGATCAAATGTAGCACACAAACTTTATACGGACTTCAAGGAGTTTCATCCATTCATCCATAAGTACCTTAATCCTCCTGGTTTTATTTATTTTATTTTTTATTTATGTAAATAACGTATTTCCTCATTAATTTAAGTAAAAAAATCTATATTAACTTCAATTGTATACCTGGATGTTTGAAGAGTTTCCACCCAAGAACATCACCTCCCGAGTTTCATCACTGCAGAGCTCCAGGACATTGAAAACCAGAGTCTGCCATGAGGCCATTAAAGTTGCATTAGATCGAAGTTCATAGCTCACTCTGCTCTTACATGGCAGCAAGAGTAACTACCGCATCACAAGCTAGTGCTCTTATCAATATAACATGACTGTTGGACCCTATCAGTTACAGAACCCATTACACATGCAGAGTATCCATAGGTTGGGACGGCTTACTCAGGCATGTGTTATGCGTGAATTCCCGCAGGAAGTTGGAGCATTCCTCTTCCTGGTTGCCGCTGCCCTTACAGCTGCACCACGGGGAAACGGTCCAGTTGGAGAAGCTGCTGTCGACATAGTTGGGAGTCATTTCTGTCCCTGTGAGGGCACCCACACACAAACACATACACAAATCAGGACAAACTGTTATAGGTCACTAATGGACAATAATGGACTACATTTATTGCATAGTCTATAAACAGATAACAAGATTTTAGTCATGGGTTTGCACTATCTGAGTTTATGACAAGGTGAGGCATTTTGTAATGCTTCATTTTAGATGTAAAGAGGCCATTATGTTATGAATATTTTTTGCAAAGTAGGTGCTTTAGGGAGTGTGTGTGTGCTGTTTGAATATAGCACCGCCGTACCAAAACATTTTACTTAGCAAATGTGTCCCTGTACCGATGCTTTCAGCAGGAGTCAGGAGTGTTAGATGCACTTTGTGTAGTATTTTTCTAGAGAAATCCCAGGAAGAACCATGGCAAATTAACACTTCACACTGCACCAGTTATGACACACGGTGGGGAGGCAGTGAGTGATTGTGGGAAATGATGGACACTTCAGCAACCACTATGCAGTATTAAAAAAAAGAAGTTATTTTTATGTACATTTGCATTTTAAAAATCTTCCCGAGCTCCGTGACGCCAAGGGACCGTTATCAAACGTTGGCCAGGGTTGAAATATGTGCATGTACTAGTCCAAGCGCATTGTTTGAGCAACATCTACTATGAGCAAACAGATGGTCATCAAGTGTTTTAATTAAGTAAACACTCTCTATGCCTCTCCTGCCTAATTACTTCTCGTAGCGAGCTGATGTCCAGTGTGCTTTGGGAGATGTAGGCCAGGAGGGGAAAAAAGTGAAGGTCGACCTGTCTTTTACCGTCAATATTTATCTCATCTAATACCTGGAATTTGACTAATTTATTGTGGGATTTCAAGTAAATTTGCCCATAATTTCCCCTGCCATATTTTCTCTTAAACACTCAAAGAAACTCACCGATGAGCCGTGCGTAGGAGGCCAAACAGGCTTGGTGATTGTCTTGGTTGGGACAGGTGCTCACGGTCTGCGGAGTCACCTCGCAGTTCACCATGTAATCAGCCAGCCTAGACCTGCACAACAAACATGAAGCACAGAACCGAAAATCAAAAAAGGGAGGCACGGGTTCAGTAAGAAGCAAATGACAGATGAATGCACATACAAAAGTTCTAAGCACAGGACCGCGTTTTTTGGCACCGTTTTCACTCAGAAGCATCTGCCAATAGCCAAACTGGGATAGTATATGCAACATCTGTTTCTAGGCCATGACAACAGGTGTCCTGAATTACAAACCAGGTCTCGCTCACACACCAGTACCAACAAGCTTTTTACTATTTTCAACACGAACCCAGTTCATTTGGGTGAGAAAGATATGATATGCCTCTATTGGCTGTTTCCTCCATGCTTATCCTGGACATCTCCACTGTTTCCCAAGCTCACTTTCCCCACAAACCTAGGGAGCTGATAAAAATAGTATGTTTTTGTTTCGGTGTGTTTGTGATAAGAGCTTAAGTCTGTGGAGGCCCCCAGGGCAGCATGGCTAATCCACTTAAGTAGGTTTATTGGGAGTAGCGTGTGCAAAGTTGGTCTGTCTGTACTGTTCACATCACAGCTGCCCACTAAGTGAGTCACAAACCATTGCACATGTCTTCCCCTCTGTATCTCTGTATCTCGCTCTGCCATGACTTATTCTGTGACCTGGTCTGACCAATTTCTGCAGCCTTAAGTTCAAAGGTACTGAATTGTTCCTCAGGCGGTCTCTTGGGATGCACGCACACTATACTAACACACAAGGAAACACAGAAACATGATCTGTAATGGAAGTGATGTACTATTTAAAAACAATGTGTCACAGTGTTGTAAAGGGTGCTATGTGGGGGATTTGGAAAAACATTATTGACATTGAAACACCATTAAGATATTTATCGGCATCCAGGCGCCAGCCAGAGTTCAAGTCTTTACTGTGTCTCAAGCCAGTGGTGTTGGGACTGCTGTTCCTCAAAATTAAAAGGAACTGTTCAACACTTTGGAAAAATCCTTCTTTGTGTTATTTTGGGAAGTAAAGACCAAAAACCACTCAATCAATACCGCTCCCACATCAGTACGATATGTACAGTATCTTGATTAAGGAGAAGGCTAGTTTAGTTGCGTCGTGCAGACATCAAAGTTTTTACATTTGTACTTTTCTTTCACAGTGCTAACAACCTAACAACCTATCTGCTCTTGAGTCAGACATGTTTTAAACAGTGTGTTCAGTTGTCTGACAGCAGGTACACTTATGTGCTTTTAAGCAATGCAGCTGTCCATACAAGACACACACAGCCAATCTCTAGCTTTGCAAGGTTTAGACAAGGTGTCAGAAATGTGCAGTCTGGTGCTAATTTCCTTCAGTTAAGTCATTATCCCGATGTCTCAAAATGGATGTGATAATAACTGAAAATTCAACAATTATAACAACTTTACTTGCATTAATGTCAAACACATTGACATACTGCCTTGTCTTTAAATATGCATTGCGCCACTTTGTACTTTTAACTTCTACGGTGCCGCTACTTGATCAGTACTCATAATTGTGTGCCTTTCCTGAAGTAATTGGATTAGATGAGATGCATTTTAATGATTCTGAGCTTCCGCGTGTTTTTCTGCAAACGCTGAATGTATTGCTTTCGGCAGTAAGGACATTGTTGTTCAGGGAACTCAGAGAGGAGGGTACATGTAGCAGTAACACTGTCTATCAGAGAAAGAGAGTTCTTCTGTTGTTGCAGCAGCAAGTTTAAGACCAATGTATTCTGTATCTCAGCTCTGTGAAGACAGCGGAGACAAGCAGATTTAGCTGAGGGGAACATGGGGTGATAAGGTTACAATCTCTCCGTCTCCCTCCCTCTCCCTCTCTCTCCCGCAGTCTTTCGCCACAGTGGAGATGCAGCCAGTGTGGTGTGATGGGCTTGGGCCTCGAGCAGCAAAACCCACTCAGACTCACTTCATTACTCCAACTCCATCTCCATCCGCCCCACTATCAAATCAGCCGGAGAGCTTCTCGATGTGACATGCTGCTAACATCACATCGCGAGCCACGCTTCAGAAAACGTATGGCTGCTCTTCCATGGCTGTAAAGATGGATACCGATGCACGCGCACACTCTAATGATACACGGTACATAACATTCCCACAAAGAGGAAGACACACAAACAAATAGGCCCGCAAACCAATCCCGCTCCACAGCAGCCCTCCAAACTCAAAGCCCTCCTCATTCATTCCTGCTTTGAGTGAAAGAAGGCACTTGTACCCACAATCATGCCACAGATTATACAAAAAAAAGATACAACACACTGAGAGGGAAGAACTCTAGTGTGCCGATACAAAGCAACCTCTACAGCCACATTTTCCATTTTTATATTTCTTACAGGCAAAGGGTCCCTTACTTTCATGCCAACAAAGACTGTGAATGTCAGATTTTTTTTTTTTACGGAAAGGCTAAAACCAAGAAGATTAAAGAAAGTGAACCAGCATTGTGTTTCTTTTTTAGATGCAGAGCCTTTTCAGACAATGACGGCTTAAAAACAGTAATTTAAAGTTTAGAGAGGTGTCCTGAGTGTTCAGACAATGGTGTTCCAAGACTGAGATTCAGCAAATTTCATGGCTTCCATGGGCTTTCCATTATACCCCGGCAAAGCGCCACTCGCTGCTGAAATTACAGGCTGTCTAGCTCAACAGAGTTTTATGGTCATTTCAGCCACTCAGCCCCAAGGGAAGTGGCAGGGGAGCCCCCACAGAGGTAGACTTCTTTCAACCAACCTGACACTTTAAACACAGTGATTCGACTGAGCACTGAGTGCCTGTCCATCCAGCTTGGCAGTAATAGAAAACTAATGGCTTTTTATATGGATTCTTATTCCTATCAGTTGATGCCCGTGACAAACAACGTGACTCAAATCAGATGAGTGTCAGTCTTGGAAACTATTTCCCTTAGGACAGAGGAGGAGCAGGAGGAAAAACAGTTATCGTCTCCTAAGTCTCTAATAGCTTCCTTTTTACGTTAAAAACTGTTGAGAGACCTCTCCCTGTGCTCCGTCTAAAAATATCAGCCCTTCTGCTGATGATAATTTCTGTTAAATGTTGCAGCTCTTTACTCTTATCGCTTCCTGCAGTCTTCAGCCTAGAGAGGCTTTATAAATCATATCTCTCACTCATCGACAGAGAGCGTAACAATAACCCTGACACAATAGCTGCTGACATAATAGCGGTTGCATGTAGCAAATGAGAAAAAACTGAAGATGGTTCTCGATGCTTTCCCGCCTCTGCTATCTTCTCCTCTGTTGTGTTCCTCCGACCTCATCGCTCCATCCCTCCTCTCTCAATAACGTCTTGTTGTCTCTGTCATAAAACTGATTGTCATTGCAGCCTTGAGTGTTCATGTGCAAACTCACGGCAAAGGAGGTTTGACCCTGGACTAGTCAATAGGCTCCAAAGCCGTGTGTGTTCTTTTGTCACTTGATGTTAAAAGCAAACACTGAGTCTTGGCAGAGCGGAGATCACTCTATTTTGTCAGGCATGGTTTATTACATCTGAACAATTATTATGAAAAGCCTCACAATAAAGCCCTCATTTTGTGAGGTGAGTGCTAGGAATATATGTTTTGGATTACATTACATTACATTTCATTAAAGCCCCTGTCACACTGTCCCGAAATTGACACCCGATGGACACACGAATATGGAATTGTGAATTTCGCACGAAGATGGCCCCGAACCACACACGAAGGCAACATTTACATTACATTTAAGACATACAACTGCAACGAAAGTAACANCACCTACTAAGGTTCAACGACACTCTAACCTTGTCAGGAAGCCGCCGTGAGCTATGCACGTAGGAACTTTATAACGACCTCGGTCTTAGGAGCCTAACGTCTTTGCCGGCTTACAAGCAAATGTTCACTCTAGACCAGTCAACAAAAAGGAATAAAGGATAGAATACGATTCGATTCGATTTCTAGACGAACTATCCGAAGATTTTAGGGTTGGAAGAGTAGATCAAGTCGTTAAGTATACCATATAGGGTTTGGTTAATTTTAAGACATTCGTGAATAATATAAACAAAGGGTTGCCTGAGGATATATTGTATATCAAGTGACATCACAAAATTAGGACTGGACCTGCACGAGATGTCACAACCGGAGTAAGAAGGGTACGTCCGTAACATGATATAGTGCGACTGTCGGGACCTCTCTCCTAGGCATTGTATGTTTTTTGCTCTTCAGCGCGTCGTCGGGCAGTCTTAAATACGTAACTATTATTCTGTAAATAGGTGGGACTTTAGGTTGTGTGTGTTCGTCACTGTCGTACGACCTTCTATCTCTACTTCTTAATAACAAGGACACTTCTTACTCAAGACGTCATCGTACACTACGTTCGCTATATACTGTAGTCGTCGAATCCCCAATTCTGGTAACACTCAGCTGTTTCCACCATAAAAGGTAGTTTGGAAAGTTAGGACGAAAGAACTCCAAGTTCCTCTGATACCTCTTGACTGGACATAAAGAGGACTGTAGAGCTTCGTTACAGAGTGAAATTTTACACCCGACTATCCTTTTCACGCGAAACCTAGCCGTTGTATCACCAGGGCCAAAGTACAAGTTTGAAGAAGGACCTAAACTGAGCCGAAACTCTTGGAAAGACGTGGACTCTAGGACTTACGTAGAAGAACACAGAGTTCAGCTCTAAGTTTTCCCTACTAGAAACATCAGCTTACGTTTGCACCCAAAGCAGAAAAATGCAATAGTTTTAAAATTCTTAAAGATGCTAAAGTAAAGTTTAAAAGCAAACGGAAAGAGAACATAAGACAAAAATACCAACCGTAGATACACAAAAAGTTTACCAACACCAATAAACTTTCCACAATATTATGTAAATTAAGTCCAATAATGGACCATCCTACATCACATTAGAAACTACGGAAGGAACACTCTTCTGACACAATTCTCGTCACAGACACGGTGTAGTCGGCGCGTAGTTGTAGGTTTACGCGGTAGACTTGTCTCCCTTGTGATCTTTCGATACCCAAACAAAAGTT